TGGAGGCAAATTCTATACTGTTTTTTTTCTGTCCTTAACTATAAAGCCACAACCACATGGCCAAAGCTGCCAAGTTTTGCTGTTTACTGGGGCTGGAACATGGCACCCTCATTCAATTACATCTTCACCCGCTTTTTGTCCTTCACTGACTAAGCTGGGCTGTCCTGAAACTTGCTCTGTAGACCAGGATGACCTCAAACTCAGAGATCCATCAGCCTCTGCCTTCCCAGTGCTTCGATTAAAGGTGTGCCCCCCCACACACACACCTGGCTCTCAGACTCTTTGGACAAGGGCAAAAAGCAGCCACTTTCTTCACAAAAATATCACAAGGATGATCTCCAGGCAACATACTAAAATTCTTCTCCTCTGAAACCCTTTGAGTGAGCCCCCAACAGTTCAAATAACTGTTAGTATGTCTGTCTTCCATGCTCCTACTAGTATGGCCATTAAGCATTGCTTAAAGCATTCCACTGCTTTCATAACTCAAATACCAAGTCCTTCCATAATCCTCCCAAAAACATGGTCAGGTCTGTTACAACAATACCCCGGTTGATACCTCTGGTATCAACTTCTGTCTTAGTTACAATTTTTATTGATGTGAAGAGACACCATGACCACGGCAACTCTTATAAAGAAAACATTTTTTTTAAAAGATTTATTTATTTATTAAGTATATAGTATCCTGCATGCCAGAAGAAGGCAACAGACTTCATTATAGATGGTTGTTAGCCACCATGTGGTTGCTGGGAATTGAACTTGGGACTCTGAAAGAACAGCCAGTGCTCTTAACCTCTGAGCCATCTTTCCGGTCTCCTAAAGAAAACATTTAACTGGGATGGCTTGCTTACAGTTTCAGAGGTTCAGTTCATTATCATCATGATGGGGAGCATGGTGGCATGCAGGCAGACATGGTGCTGGAGCTGAGAGTCCTACATCTTGCAGGCTACAGGAAGTTGACTGAGACACTGGGTGGTATCATGAGCATAGGAAACCTCAAAGCCTGCCTCCACAATAACACACTTCCTCCAACAAGGCCATACCTCCTAATAGTGCCACTCCCTATGAGCTTATAGGGGCCAATAGCATTCAAACTACCACAGGACCCAAGCTCAACTCCCAGCATCCACATGAAGGTTCACAACCATCTGTAACTCTAGTTCCAGGAAATCCAATGCCCTCTTCTGACCTCAGCAAGTACCCAGATGGCACACAGACATACATAGAATACCCATAGAATAAATAAATGACATTTTTTAAAAAGGCATCCCATTAAAACAACCAATTATAAAAAGAACAGCTGAGGGTTTTATAAATGGAGCTGAATAATGAGAAGAAAAATGAGATGATACTTGTTTGGACTATGGTGTCTGAGATAGTCTCCTTTGATCTGTAGATGCTTAATAATCATCAGAGTTGTTTGTTTGTGACAAGATCTTACTTGATAGCACAGACTGATCATGAACTCACAATCCTCCTTTTGGAGTGCTGGGATTAGGATTACATGCATGGACTATACCACACCTAGCTTAAGATCACCCACCTTGTTTCATCTGTGATGTATGTGTGTGTGTTTGTATGTGTATGCGGATGCATGTTCATGTGTGTAAGTGCATGTGAAAATTAGAAGATGATGTCAGGTGTCTTCTTCAGTTGCTCTCTACCTTCAAAAAAAGTTAAGATTCATTAACTTTTAATTTTCACTTATGTTTATATGCCATTTGTGTACGGGTGCCCATGGAGGCCAGAAGAGGTCATCAGATCCCCTGGAACTGCGATTACAGGTAGTTACGAGCCACCAATGTGGATGCTCGGGTCTGAACTCGGGCTCTCTAGAATATCAGCAAGGGCTTTTAATTGCTGAGCCACTTCTCCATCTTCTACAATAATTCGGTCTCCCACTGAACCGGAAGCTCACTGATTCAGCTGTTCTAGCTGGTCCACAGGTCTCATGGACCCTTCTGTGTCCTTCTCCCCAGCCCTGGGAATACAGACACACACTGCTACACCTGGATTTTACATCCGTGCTGGGGATTTGAACTCAAGGCCTCATGCTTGCACCGCAAACACGGGACAAAGGAAACAGAGTCGAATGTAACTTTTACAATCCTTGACAAAGTTAAGAGGAAACATAGCTCTGGCAGCCAAGAAGCTAAGTACTCACCCCCTCCCCTCTCTCTCTCAGACAGGGTTTCGTGATATGCCCCAGGATGGCTTTCATAGCTCAAAAGCATCCCCAGACAGAACGGAAGCGAACAAGCCTGGCTGTGTTCCAACAGTACCTTTGTGCACAAGACAGTACCTCCCAGCCCCAGGGCGATTCTTTGCCACCCTAGATCTAAGACAAATTCCTCAGGAGGGATAGAGGGGAGTGGGGGGGAGGATTTACTCAGCAGCCACAGTTAGAGGCAGCTGGATGGCTACATATCTGAGCCAGAGAGTCCCCTTCCTGGCTTCCCTGGGCCTCCACCTGGCTTGTAGACCCAGAAGTTCCTGTGTCATAGGCACCAGACATAGAGATGCTCTGTCAGACAGAAACTGGGTTTGTTTTTACAGTCAGCCTAGAGACACACACCTTACTAGTGTCTTAGAACATACACACAGATTTATTTTGTCACGTAAAAGCCCGAAGGGTGGCCACCCAGGCCGGGAAAGTGTACAAGACCCCACCTGTGTGTGGTCCTCATCTACAGGGTCCAAGCCAGTGGCTGCTGAAACTGTTACCGTCTGTCCAACACAACCAACCAGAAGGAAAAGGAAAGCAGTGTGAGTCAGCCCTCCTCACCCTCTCTCTGTCTGAAGGCCCTTCCCAGAAACTGTATTATTATCTGCCTGAGGCTCAGGCCTCTGCGGCTGTATCTAATTTAAAATGGTGAAGATGTCCCCTTCAGCTTTAAGTGTTACCTGGAAAAGGAAGACAGACACCAGATGGCCAACAGTCTCTGTCTCAGTTGCCTGGAGGAACGGTGAACTGGAAGAGACCTGAGGTTGCTTAGAAACACAATTCACAGGGAGGGGGCCCCTCCAGCAGAGGATGCCAGGATGCCTGGCCCGCTTTGTGGTCCTGTAGGATGGCAGAGACCTCTTGCTCAGAAGGCCCACACTAGGTTTCATGGTGGGCTGTCAGCATCTTGAAATTCTTAGTAATTTTATTGTTGAGCTTGTTATTTTTTACACGAGGTCTGTTGGGGCAATGGATATGAGTCTGAGAGGATGCATACCATGATGGCCCAGGGCTTTGCAGCTCCTGCCCTCATACTGCATTGCATCAGTAATGTCGGCCACGGCGCTGCCAGAGCACATCCACCTGAAACTCAGGTCCACACTTGGGCACTGCTTTGCTATTTTCCTGCCTCTTCCTCCTCCTCCATTTTTATTTTTTTTTTTTGCATAGATTTGTTTGCTTTTGTGCATTCTGTACACATGGAAGTCAGAGGATAGATTGTGGGGGTTGGTTCCCTCCTCCTACCACGTGGGATCCAGGGATCAAACTCAGGTCATCAGGCTTGACTGTACCTTTATCCACAGAGCCATCTCACTGACCTTGCTGTATGTGTGTCACTGTGAAGTTTAAATTAGTCTTATATCTTTTATTTTCTTTCCCCTTTTTCCTTTTTCTTTCTTTTTTTTTTTTTATTTGTCTTGTTTTTGAGACAGAATCTCACCATGTAGCCCTGGATGCCTGGAACTTGCTGTGTAGACCAGGCTGTCCTTGGAATCACAGAGATTCACCTGTCTCTGCCTCCTAAGTGCTAGGAGTAAAGCTATTTGCCACCTCCTTTCAAAACAGGGCCTCATGTATCCCAAAATGGCCTCAAACTTGCTATATAGTTGAGGATAACCTTGGCTCTGATCCTCCCATGTCAACCTCCCTGGGATTACATGTTCCTCCTGGTTTATGTGGTGCTGGGGACCAAATCTAGGGCCTCATGCGTGTGAGACAAGAACTCTCCCAATTTAGATCCATCCCCATCCCTGTATGCAGTTTTATAAGTGCAGTCCTAGAGAAGTGGGAGTGTGCCCGTCCCCTGCCACTGCACTTGCAAATGCAGTACCCCAGAAGTGTTTGCCATATCCTAGAGTCATAGGATTCTGCCAGACCCACAGTGCTAAGATCCAAGGTGGCAGGCCATGTCTATGACTAAAACAGGGCTTAGAAGCTGCCCTTACCATCCAAAAGTGAACTCATTTTGAATGTGAAAGGAGGCAGGGGTGGTCTGGAGAACACAAAGAATTAAGGAACAGTCTCTTTGCAGTACTTCCTTGTTAGCTAGTCCTTTACAGTGAACCTGGTAACAGACATGTAGGGCAATCCAGTCATCCCTTGACTTTTCTGCCCTTTAACTATCAGGGGAAAGAGGCAAAAATGTTGAGACTGTGTATACCTATCAAGAAGTAAAACTATGGGCCAGGGAGACGGCTCAGTGGATAAAGCACTTGTCCCACAATTGTAAGGACTGGATCCCTGGAACCCATTTAAAAGATGGGCATGTGGTGGCTGCCTGTAATCCCAGCACTTGTAAGACAGAGACAGGAGCCCAGGGCAAGCTGGACAGCTAGATATGCAGAATTGGCAAGCTCTGGGTTCAGAGAGAGACCTTGTCTCAATAAATAAGGGGGAAAGCTACCGAGGAAGAAACCAGACATCCACTTTGAACCTCTGCATGCACATACCACACAGACACACACACATACAGACAGACAGACACACACACACACACACACACACACACACACACACGAAGGAAAACTAGGGCCAGGCAGTTGTGGCACATGTCTTTAATCCCAGCACTTAGGAGTCAGAGGCAGGTGGATCTCTGTGAGTTCAAGGCCAGCCTGGTCTACAGAGTGAAGTCCAGGACAGCCACCAAAACTACACAGAGAAACCCTGTCTCAAAACACCAAAAAAAAAAAAAAAAAAAAAAAAAGAAGAAGAAGAAGAAGAAGGAGGAGGAGGAGGAGGAGGAGGAGGAGGAGGAGGAGGAGGAGGAGGAGGAGAGAACTAAAAAGTTCCTGCTCTGAGCTGGGGATGTCACTCAGCTGACAGAAAGCTTGCCCAGCATTCAGGGAGTTCTGCTTTCCATCTCCAGTACCACATAAAACAGTGTGTAAGGTACATTCCTATAATCGCAGCATTCTGGAGCTGAAGGCAGGAAGATCAGAAGGTCATCCTTCATCATACATGGAGATCAAGGCCAGTGTAGATGAAATGAAATCCTGGCTCAAAACAAAAACAAAACAAGGTCACATGACACAATATTTCTATTTGTTCTGATAAAAATACAACATGCATTTGTTAGTCTATGAAACAAACTATAAACTCATAATTTTGTATGTGAGTTAAATACTCTTACATTTTCTTTTAAAACAGCAGGGAGGAATATAATGATGAATAGTGGAATTCATACTAACTGGAAAATTTTCATTTTCCCTTCCTTAGAATGACATTAAGTAGCAAATAAAATGGCACAATAAATAAAGAAGAAAGAAAAACATTCAAAGTTCAGGATCTTTGGTAGTGTTTTCTGTATTCTGAGCAAGGAGGCCCTGCACTTGCATTTTGCCCAGGACCCTGCCCATCTTGCAGTAAAGGATGAAAGAATACTGCTGCAGGATTTTGCACAGGAGGTTCACCTCCCAGCTCCCTCCTCTTCTCCTGCTCACAGTGAGGAGGCAGAGATCCCAACATATGAGGCTCCTGTTACACAAGGAGCCTGTGCCCTGGGCACAAAGGATCCTCTGCATATACAACCCCCGGTATAGTTTAGGTGGATACAGTGGGGCCTCTCATTTAGCATATACCCAAACTGGCATCTTGGGGAGTGGAAGAGAAACAATTTAGAAAGACAGAAATTGGAGACCTTGAGTTTGTTTGTTTTTTTTTTTCTTAAAGACCCTTTGGAAAACAGCCAAACAAGGGTGTGCTACTCCAGACAGACCCAAGGCTGCTCTAAGAAAGTGGGGTGTGTATGGTTAAAAGGCAAGGCTAGGCTTCCCCACTGCCCAGAGTGTGGGACTACTGAGGATGATCTGATGGGGGATGTCTGTCTGCAGGTCTGCTACTTTGAGATTTTGTTCATATTCTGTCTCAAATAAACTCTTTTCAGCCAGGTGTGATGGGGCATGCCTAGAATCAAAATAAGGTGGTGCACGCCTTTAATCCCAGCACTCGGGAAGCAGAGGCAGGAGGATCTCTGTGAGTTCAAGGCCAGCCTGGTCTCCAAAGCGAGTTCCAGGAAAGGTGCAAAGCTACACAGAGAAACCCTGTCTTGAAAAACAAAAACAAAAACAAAAAAAAAAATCAAAACAGGGTCTCATGATGCAACATTTCTATGTGTTCTGATAAAAATGCAATATGCATATGATAATCTATGAAAAAGCAACAAAATTTGGGAGGTGGAAACTGGAGGATCAGCTCAAGGCCAGCCTTGCTGACATGAGATCATCTCAACAAACAAAACATAGCCATAAACACACAAAGTGTTTTATGGGGAATATTTATATTTTAGGAAACACATATTGACACAGACAGGGATAAAGGGACATGATTTATATAACAACCTCATAAAGGCATGGTACTACCTTATACAAAGTGCACCTACTGGGACTCAGTATACTGGTCCAGGGGGGTCTCACGGCTTTTTGGTGCTAACAATCTGTAGGTGCTGACCCCTGTTCTTCAAGAATCCTCATCAAACTGGCTCACAACAAAAGATCCAAACACTACAATGCATCACAGTTGACAGTTCCCCAACAGGCTCTCTCCTACACCTCCCCCTCCTAAGAGCTGTCTGCTGGCACCCAGCTAAAGGACAGGGTACCAAAAAGGAAATGGCACAGCCAGAGTTCTTCCTGTCACTCCACAGGGGCTGACCACCATGTCCCTGAGCAGGAAGGAGAGGGACTTTTCTGGGTAACTTCACCTTTGGGTGAATTTATTCTATTTTCATGGTTTCCCTAAAATGATAGGAAGCTTGTGGTAAAACCCACTTCCTTCCCTTATGCTAGGAGGTCCTGCCCACATCCTCTGAACTGACCACCATCCTTTCTCTCTATTTTTTTGTGGTACAATAAATTAACACAGCTGACATAAAGGGAGGAGGGTGTATATACATATGGAGTTCAACTGGATCTCATCAACCTGCCATCTGGTTCCCTTCCCAGTGAGAACCATGCTTCTCTCTCACCTGGTAAACTAAAACACATCTTTGCTCACTTTCTTGCTCTCACTTTTATGCCCCAAACCTTTTTTCCGTGTTCAGGTGGGGCCAAATCAACTATAGGACACGAGAGATAACATTTTCATTGCAGATAAGCATAAGCGAGGGATAATTTTTTTTAGTATAAATTTCACAAATATATAGAATATACTTATACTAACAAGTATTTGCCTGAAACCCAGATTTTACTGGACAGTGTGAAGGTTTTCGTTTTTTAATATTTTGTTTTGTTGTCATTTTGAAGCAGGTCTCACTGTGAAGCCCTGCTTGGCTTGGAGCACTTAAACTTGTGATCCTCCTACATCTGCTTCCCAAGTACAAGTGTTCACCACTGTGCTCAACTAACATCATGAAATTTTATTTGCCAATTCTCATAACTCTTGCCTGTAGCAGCCAGAGCCATACTTTAACACAGCATTTCTCAACCTTTGGGTTGTGACCCCTTTGGGGTGGACAAGTGGTCTCAGATCAGATACCCTGTATATCAGATATTTACATTACAATTCATAACAGTAGCAAAATTACAGTTATGAAGCAGCAATGAAAATACTTTTATGGTTGGGGGGACCACCACAACATGAGGAACTGTATTAAAGGTCACAGTATTAGGAAGGTTGAGAACCACTGCTTTAACATGTAAATTAGCTTGTGTGGCTCTTGCTCAGAATCCACTCAGTTTCCCATCTCTGGTCACAGGCCCTCTGAGGTGGAAATCCCTATGTGTCCCTTCCCAGTGCTTCCTGCCCCTCACTCACTGGCTCTTCTCCTCCACTTGCTCCAACCACAGGGGCCTTGCTTGTTCCCTGCCCTTCTCCCAGATTTCTGGTTCCTTCTGGTTTTACCCAGCTGACGTTACTTTCTCTGACACCCCTTTCAAATCTGGAGCCTTACAACTTTTACACCTCTCTCTGCTTTTTCTCTGTCCTACCGTCCAAAGTACCACACAGTATGTACTCATAGATTTGAAGTGTGGGGCCTCTGAGGACACAGTCTCTGTCTTGTTGACCCTGCCTGGCAACTGCAGGCATTCAGTAAGTATTTTGTGAATCAATGGGGAAACCCAAGGGCAGGAAGTGCAGCCAAGAGAAGTCCAGGAATCAAGCCTTAGCTTTGTCTGTCCTCCACAGGCTTGTGGTAATCTGGCTCTACTTTCCTTGCTCAAGGCCACCCTTGGCCACTGTCCCAGGTCTCACAGGACTTTTCTAGGCACTGCAGAAACTGGTAATCTATTCTTCCTTTCCTGCCCTCCCCCCACCTCCCCCACTTCTCTTTCATCTCTCCCTCTCCATTAGCATTTATAGTTTTAAAAATAAGTGAGTAGGGCTGATGGCTCAGTCATAAAGTGTTTGCCAGACAAGCATGAGAACCTGAGTCCAATCCCCCAGAACCCAAAGAGAAGGTGAGTGTGGTAGCATAAGCTTGTAAACCTAGCAGCGGGGAGACAGACAGATCCCTAAAGCTTGCTGACCAGCCAGCCTAAGTTGAAGAGCTCCAGGCCAAAGAAGAGGCTCACGCTCTCGCGCTCTCTCTCTCTCTCTCTCTCTCTCTCTCTCTCTCTCTCTCTCTCTCTCTTTCTCTCTCTCTCCCTGCCGGTAAAGCAAGCTCAGATCTCACTAGGAAACATCTGTGGGCCCCAAAAGATCTCTCTTCTTAATATTTTAAAAAGCTCCCCATTAAGAGCTCACAGCAATCTCCATAGCTGTCACACCTCCCAATAAAGGACTAGAGGTTGATAACGATGGAATATCCCTTTTGAACGGGTCTAAGATGTAGTCTTAGCTATACCAAGCCCTTTTTTAAATCAATAGACTCTTGATGCAATCGCATCAAATAAATCAAACTCCAGATGTGACTGCATCAAACTTAAAGACTCCTTTAGCTTCACCAAAAATAAACAGGTTAATATAATTCTAACATAAATATTGCTATACATAATTACAATTCTCTCAAACTTACATCTAAAAGCAAACTCTTAATAGAACCATTAACATTTTAAAAACTTTAGCAAAAATACATTTCAGCTGGGTGATGGTGGCGCATGCCTTTAATTCCAGCACTTGGGAGACAGAGGCAGGCAGATCTTTGTGAGTTCGAGCCAGCCTGGTCTACAGAGCAAGATCCATGAAAGGCATAAAGCTACACAGAGAAACCCTGTCTCGAAAAAAAAAAAAACATTTCAAAACAATCTCTTAATATAACCATTTGTATTTTTTTTTTTTTTTTTGGTGTTTCGAGACAGAGTTTCTCTGTGTAGCTTTGTGCCTTTCCTGGAACTCACTTGGTAGGCCAGGCTGGCCTCGAACTCACAGAGATCCGCCTGGCTCTGCCTCCCGAGTGCTGGGATTAAAGGCGTGCGCCACCACTGCCCGGCCCATTTGTATTTCTTACTAACAAAACACAGTATAAACTTCTGATGCATCTGCATCAAACTTAAATAATCTCTTAACTTCACCAAACCATGGTGCATCAATATAAATAGTTAACATAAATATTACTCTAACATAAATATTACTATATACAATTATAATTCCAACAAACCTACATTCAAAAGCAATATTTTCAATATAACCATTAACACTTGAAAAGCTTTTTATACTTTAAAGCAATCTCTTAATAGAACTATACAAAACTTAGGGTACATTAACACAAGTTAACATCAGTCCACTCAAGTAACAAGAAAATATTTTAAAAAATTAAATAGATGGAGGAATATTAACTCCCCCTTTCTTTATAATTTCTTAAACTGTATCTTGAGCTTGATTAGAAAAAATAAACCCAAACTTCTCCATTTAAACAGTTCCATTGTTAATATAAAACAAGTTCCATAACAGTTCTATTTTTATATGAACAGTTCCATAAAAAAATAGTTCCATAAAATAGTTCATAAATCATCACTCCGTTGATAGAATCTATATGCATAAGTAAGTTCAAAATTGTCCCATTGCAATGAAATCACTCCTGTCCATCCCATTTCTTAAGTCCAAAAAGTTCAAAAAA